TATGGGGGATTTTTACATAAAAATATATAAAATGTTTTAACATAAAATAACTTTTTCAGCTTGCTTTTTTTGGCCTCTTAATATAGTTGCGAATGATTCTGTTTTATAAAGCATTCGATGACACATTATCCAAATCCATCCATCCATCTATACATCTATCTATCTATACATCCTTCCATTCATCCATCCATTTATCTAACCATTGTATAACATCAGACAGCTTTCTATTCATTTGCAGTGCACATATCCCTGCCAACTGTTCTTATAGAGATACCCTGATTCCCCTTCACAACCAAAATTCTCTGCGATAAAGATACTGCATGTGCATCCATTATCATATATACTGATTACTTCCAGTAGGTGGCAATATTAACCCTAATCCATGAAGTGCAGCGTTGCCTTCACCATACAGAAGTGAATTACATTTCATCACAAATCTTAAATATATAAAGGGGGTTCATTCCAAATTTAGGGATGGGACAGAGCAATAAAAAAAAAAAAACAGATTCCCTTTGACCCAATAGTTAACTATGCACCTGCTGCTTTATAACATAGTCACAGCCTACATTTATATAGCAAGTTCTATAAATTTGCATACGGATGTTTTAGGCTTGTTAGTTCTTGTTAGTGTCAAATACGGACTCTATTGCTTATAATAGGTACGGTTTAGAAGAAAGGGCTAGTTAAAATGTCCTATTGTCCAAATATAATAAAAAATACCTATTAAGGTTTAATTTTGTAATAAAATGTGTACAGCATGCATGTTTTCTCTTAATCACATCTAGAAAACAATCAATACTGAGGCAGAATAGGTCATTAAATATTAGAATCATGCTTTTTAAACAGATTACAGGGCCATTAATGTAAAATCACACACACTTGTTTCAGACTTGGTATCCACTATCAGTGCAAGATGTAGAATCCTTGACTTCTGTGGAGCAGGACTTGGGAAGCAACTAACCAGGACTAGTTATCTTGTCCTGTTTATCATAGCACATAGAACTGGCAGTTTAGCTAGAATTTAGTACTGGTATGTGCACAGCTTGCACACTTTCCCTGAATAGTTGGCATGGGGAAAACAATCAATTTCGCAGCAGTGCAATTAATTAAGAATCCAGAATCAAATTAATCTAAATGATGCCACCTGCTAGTGCCCATTTCCTAAGGGAACAAACAGTGCTACATATTCTACTATAAAAATACAACTGTGCTTATACAGTCCTTTCGTTACAATGGGACATATTATCACATATTATATTCTTCTCTTCCTTGTGAATGTGCATTATATTGTATATACCCGATAAATGTATCCTCACTGAGAGAGGAAAATGAAACCATTTCCCAATGATCAATCATTATTTCATTGCACTATATGAGAAACTTGCCAAGAGCTAGAGTAATTTTATATGATGTACATGAAATTGGTTATCTCCCAGCATGCACTGTGGCCAATTTATCATGAAACAGAGTGTTATATGGCTTGCCCATGACTTCTAAACTATTACCTTTCTATAGAGCAAGGACCAAAAAGACTTGTAATAACTAAAATGTCAAATGTGAAATTGTGGGAGAGAAGGACAATGTACCTGTTAGATGAAATACCAAGAGAGAGATAAAAGTGGAAGACAGAGTGCGGCGGACACTGGTAGAAGATGAGAACCGGAGAGGGAGAGAGAGTTAAGGAGGGAGAGAGAGAGAGATACAGAGAGAGAGAGAGAGAGAAAAGTGGAAGACAGAGTGGGGACGGATGCTGGTAGAAGACGCGACAACCAGATGGAGAGCACGACAGCGAGATAAAGAGGTAGAGAGAAAGAGAGCGAGAGAAAAAGTGGAAGACAGAGTGTGGCAGACACTGGTAGAAGAGAGAACCGGAAAGGGTATGGGAAGGGGGGCATAGGGGGGAGAGAGAGTGCGGGCAAGAGAAAGAGAGTCATAGTAGAGAGACATAGAAGACAAACATTGGTAGAAGTGGGAATCAGAAAGGGTATTGGAGAGGAGAGCATAGGAGAGAAAGAGAGAGATAAAGAGGGAGAGGAGAGAGGTTTATAGTGGAAGACAGAGTGTGGGAGGACGCTGGTAAAAGAAGAGGGAACTGGAAAGGGTATTGGAGAGGAGAGCATAGGGGAGAGAGAGAGAGAGAGAGAGAGAGAGAGAGAGAGAGAAGGAGAAGAAGACAGAATGGGGTGGACACTGGTAGAAGAGAGAAGTGAAAAGGGTATAGGAGACAGAGACAGTAAGACAGAGCGGGGCAGAGACTGGTAGAAAAAGAGGGGAGCAGAACGTATGGGGGGAAAAAAACAGGAGAACAGAGAGAGAGAAAGAAAGAAAGAAAGAAAGAATGAAAGAAAGATAGAAATGCAAAAGGTGGGGGGGGGATCAGGGGGTATAGTAGTGGTTAAGCGACAGAAATACAAGAAAGAAAAAAGAGAAGAGGCAGTACGGGCAGCGCAGTGGGTTAGTGGTTAGCACTTCTGCCTTGCAGCACTGCAACCCCTTGGTTTAGATCCCAGGACACTATCTGCATGGAGTTTGCACGGGTTTCCACTGGGTACTCCAATTTCCTCCCACACATGCTGGCAGGATAACTGACTCCTGTCCAAATTGGCCCAAGTATGTATGTGTGCTATGGACTTTAGATTGTAAGCTCCTTGAGGGCAGGGTCTAATGTGAATGTACATCTCTGTGTAAAATGGTTGATGCTATATACATGCCTGGAATAAATGAAGAGGATAAATGTTAGGGAATGGATAAGGGAGAGAAAGACATGGGGTAGACAGCAAAAGAATAGGATGGGGGGAGATTGTAGAGAAGGAATAAGACCAACATACAACAACTGGAGGACATAAAATAAGATAAGAGAATTAAAAAAAGAAATTGAGAGAGACAGAAAGATAAAGGAGAGAACGAAGAAAGCGGCTAGAGGTAAAGAAAACAGGGAGGGAGGGAGGGAAAAGAGTAAGAAAGGAAAAGAAAGAGGAAGGGTGACAGTGAGAGGTGGCTGAGCGGAACTGAAATAAAATGGGATTTACACAAACACATAAAAGGAGATTA